GTGTCAGGGAAGAGGAAATACTGTTGCTCTTGAGATGTTATGTTGTTGCTATTGAAATGTTTAAAAAGTTCCCAAGCCAGGTGGGAACAACCTAGGATTTCAGATTTAACTCCTCTTTGGTGCCTGATGTTTGGGTTTGGCTTGGTTTTGGAGGGTTTTTTAATCTGTGCAGGCAGCGACTGTTGCCTTGCAGGGGAGCTCTGAGTGTTGAGAGTGACTTGAGCAACCGCAGCAGAGTGCCTGTTAGTAGTGAAATAGCGAATGTTGTGCAACCGATGTTAATTATTTATACAGCTCCGAGCTTGCACTTGTGTCTTAGTCTGCCTGCTCCCTGGCGAGTTAGCTGGAGCTAAATATAAACTGTGTAAGGCTGGAGGAGCAGTGGTGGAGTGCAAAATCAAAATGTCTGTGTGATGGGAGGAGGAGGGAGATCCAGAAGAGAGGATTACTTGGTGGGAGCCATTTCTCGATGATGTGGGGAATGATGCTTTAGTGGCTGGGGAATGACTGTCTCTTATTACCAAGCCTCTTTGAAAAGCTTGCTCCCTGGTGGTATCGGGCTTTAGGTGCATTCATATATCTCACTTTTAGCATCTGAATATTTTCACTGAGGTGGGACGTTGGGGTAAGCAGTGTGCAGAGCACAAGTCCTTGCAGGGTAAGGTCCTGGCCTGTGTGCAGCACCGTGTCCGAGCAGTGCTCCAGTCAGTTTGCGCTTAGAGCAGCTGCCCCAGCGCGGGCTGGGCGCCGACAGTGACAGGGAGCAGCAACCAGCTTCATGCTGCCAGCCCCAGGATTGGTGCTTTCCAAGCACATGGGTAGAATCGTAGAATCATTAAGGTTGGAAAAGACCTCGAAGATCATCAAGTCCATCACCCCAACACCACCATGCCTGCTAAACCATGTCTCCAAGTGCCACATCTATGTGGTTTTTGAATCACTCCAAGGATGGGGACTCTACCACCGCCCTGGGCAGCCTGTTCCAGTGCCTGACCACTCTTCCGGTAAAGAAATTCTTCCTAATATCCAATCTGAACCTCCCCTGATGCAACTTGAGGCCATTGCCTCTCATCGTATTGCTAGTTGGGAGAAGAGACCAACACCCGCCTCGCTACACCCTCCTGTCAGGTAGTTGTGGAGAAGAAGGTCTCCTCTCAGCTGGAGGTGGATGGAATGGGCAGAGGATGGCGGTGGTGTTTATTTCTGTTGCTCTGTTATGAGTCTTATGATGTTTTGACCTCCTTAAAATCATCTGAAAGAGAAGTGAGGAGGCACATGCAGTCCCACGAACCCAAGCTCTGGGGCTAACTGCCAAGGCTCCATGTCACAATCAGGTCACCACTTCAAAGGGATCTACTGGAGTCTGTTGGAGTGAAGGAATTAATGTTTTTTGTTTTAACATCCTTTCCCCTGCCTCGCTTCAGAACACAAGCCAACCGGGCACAGATATCTTTGTGAAACGGTTTCTGACGACGTCCGCTGTCTCGGCTGCTGTGGTGTCGCTCAGGCCGCCCCGCCGCCCGCTCAGCCGCCGG